GACGCCAGCGCATTTGTGGTAGGTTTTGGAACCTCTATTTACAGTAAATAGTAGGACACTTTTTCAACCTGCGCTCCTTATAAGATGGTTCTCCTTCTACTCTACACTCCATAAGTATAACTAATAGTACAGAAAAAACATTAACCTTTACATTTTTCGAACAAATTAACTTCCCTAATTTTTAAAAGGCGCCGCCCCGATGGCAGAAAAGTCGTTAATTCAGTTCAGCCCTCATTCAGTACCACATACACAATAAATTCTGTCAAATAATGATGTATGATTACTGTACAAAACACTGTTGGCTACTGTATTTTTTTATTACTGTATATTGAAAATGTATTACTGTATATTGATTATTATTTTCATTCATAACCTAATAATTAAATTCGACCTTTGTATTATATCTACATAACTACATTAATTTTATAATTTATAAAACCTTCTGCACTGTTTTAAAATATTTACGTTATACAGCAAATAAAAAAAAAAACGAACCATAAAATCTAAAGATCACGCCTTAACTCACTTACTAAACTTGTAATAATAAAAATATCTGGCAGCCCATCCCTATCCTAGCGGCACACAGTTACTTCATTACAAGAATTTCTAATTCTCTAGCTCCAAAATTATTTGCCTATAAAAATTATGCAAGAGTACCTTATCTATCGAAAGCTCATGTGCGGTATGGTACATCAGTACTGTATAAAAATACTTTTTCAAGTTTTTACTCAAAGTGATTAAAACAAGTTATAACACAAAAATATCTTATACAAATCACTTCAAATTTGCAAACAATTTTTATATATATTTTATAGTATTGTAAAGTTAATGTTTTAGAATTTTGAACATTTTTCATTAAAGGTAAAATTATACACAACATTCAGTTATTCAGTTATAGCAACAAGACTGTACAGAACTGCACTGATCACTTCATGTTTCACACATTCTAGTGAACATTTAAAATAAATTATCAAAATTGAATACAAAAAGTCCACCTTAAAACGAAAAGTATACATTAATTTATATTTTAGTCAATACATTTCTTTTAACATTTTATTTGTGAAAATAATATACTCAAAGTATATAATATTATATACCTACATCCTTTATGATACTTTGGTACAATCAAGTGAAAATTTTCGTCACCACAGTACATATGTTACCTTGGTCAAAAAAAATACTAACATTTCCAATCCAAAGAATTTGAATTAAAAGTTTAAACCAAACACCATCCTAATGTGGATTTCAATTTTTATAATTAAATAGAAAAACTGAAGAGTGTCCTTCAAATATCTTACTATTTCTGACAAAATGATTGACGTGATTTGTCATACTGTATATTTGTAACATACTTTTTATACATATTCAAATTGTACATTTAACATTAAAATATCCCTGAAAGCGTTGCTCTAATGTTTATACAGGGGTACTTTTTAATATCTTGTTAAGAGGAAATGCGGGCCGACTTTTGAAAATTAACTGCAGATCCGCCTGAATAGCCTAAGTAAAAAGGCATAATTCGAGGTTTGCCTCTCTGCAATTTCCCCTGCAATATTGGACCAATTTAAAAGATATTTCATAAACTGAATCAGAAGGATATATACTGTGTCGCTATGTTTTTCTTTTTTCAGTATTAGTTATGGAATTTGAATACTAGGCTTCTGTTGACAGCGGTCTAAATAGGCAATTTTGAGCATTTTGTAAGGGTTTTAGTGTTTATAAAGATAATGTATCATCAAAAAGGAAAACATAGGGACATAGAAGAGGTTGATATTTATTATACTGTAAAAACTCATTGCTATAAGGTCATAAACAAGGAAGGAAACAGGCGAGAGCGTGTGTATGGAGAAAAGACCACCTGCATTTCCTCTTAAGAAGGAAACATATTTTAAGACCAAATAAAACCTAATTACTTCAGTAATTACGTTTTTTTTTTGTTGATGATGCTGTTCATAACACTACAATGCCCAATCTTTTAATATTTTTGTATTATAATAAATGGTCTTTAAATAATAAAAAATTTAGCCCGATTATAATTAAATTTTCAGCTCAGTATTTTATTTAAAATGTCACATTTAAATCACAAATGCACCACATTTTTGTAACTTCATTAAAAAGAAAACAGCCTCAATAACAAAACATTCACAACAACTCATTAGAAAATTAGAACACATCTTCTTCTTACTTCTCACATTCTATTCTTATTTGGAGCTAGCTGCAAAATACAGTGCTGGATACTAAAAAGTATTTACAAAAAATATATATAATATTGTTTATATAGCCCCATATTCTAACAGTGGTAGAGCCACGCGGCAGCTTTTGCTGTCGCAAGGATGGGCCGGGTCGAACCGGGGTAGTACCACGACCTCACAGAAAACCAGCGTGAAGTAGAGGTTTACCTCTGCGTTTCGCTTGGTGAGTGCAGGTGGCCGGAGGCCCTTTTTACTGGAAATGAGGCATTCCATCTTAGTCCTCACGGGTGACAACGCATCTACATTTTGATTTGTAATAGAGGATAGATGTAGATGTCTATGGGCCACAGCAACCACTTACCATCAGGTGGACTGTGTGCTCGTTTGTCACCCTTATCCTATAAAAAAAAAAAGAAATAGCATGAATGGGTTGGTATGATCCAGGCAGGAATACACTCGCACACAATACCAGCACAATACTACTGTGTTTCATGTAGTAATGAGAACCGGAGACCGTTTATTACTGTAAATGAGGCATTCCATATAGTTCTTAGAGGTACAACACATCTACATTATAATTCTTAATCAAGAATAGATGTTGTAGTCCATAGATACCTTGTGCAATACCAAGGTCTCTATGAAATACAGCATCCACTTACCATAAGGTGAACTGTGTGATTGTTTATCACTTGTATAAAAAATATTTTGTTCATCTTTGTACAAATACATATTTGTACATTTGCAAATTCTTATGTACACAACTAGAAAATTAGAAAAATAGTTTAAAAGTAAAAAGTTACTGAAATTGCTTTACACTTGCGGTATGGCAACCCGACAGCTGCTCTAGGGTTATGCATAAGTGAGATACCAATGCATGCTAACAAATTGTATACAAATTAAAATATTTTTAAAGCTTGGTACAAATACTAAGATTATATTATTTTGTATAAAGTTATGTTTATCTATGGGCAAGTGTATATTCTCAATAAATACAAAATGTGATGCTGAACTATCTTCACTTAAAATGTATGTGTAACCCTTATCCGTTAACTTCATAAATACTTAGCAGTAAATGTGGTAACCTTACCTCACTTCTTTGGTAAAGCCACACAATTCAATGCATAAAATTTTAAGAAGATATTGCTGTGTAGTGGCGGTGCCAGTATATCCACTAGCCCATATTGTCCAGTGGGTGTCGTAAGAGGCGACAGAGCAAACAAACCAGGAGATGGGCAGCAGAGTCACCTTAATAACAACTAAAAAAATAAAAATTGCAAATGGCACCTCACCTACTAAGCATGGCAACTATGGCAAATATCTCAAAACAAAAGTCATTGATTGCCTCATAAGGGAAGCAAAGGTTTTTCTTAGACTGTAACAGTAACAGTAATCTTTATTGGCTTTTCTTTCTAACCTAATTACATGCCCCACAACAAACTTCAATTACATCAACAAAACAAATACATATTCTGTCAATTCATTTCTAATATAATATTATGAATTCAAGATCTGACAGAACTCATCCTTTATTGAAATCTTGCCGGATAACAAATTTATATGTAATCATTCAAGTTGTTTGTTTGTATTGTACTACAGTTGAATCATAGTGATCACCAACATATTGAATACTACAGTTGAAACATAGTGATTAACAAATGTGGGTTTTGATAGAAAAAGAGTTTTGCACAGAATAATAGTACTTCAGAATTATGACTGCACCATAATGCTGAGTCAGCAGCTTGTCCATTGTACCAATTGTAACAATTATTTATTTTGTTTATATTAAATCCTTGTATTTTTCATATCCGTGTAATGTTATAGTTGTGAATATTTTTTTTTATTTCTTTGCAATGACTATAAATTTGTTTTGACGTAAATCTATTTTTATGTTTTTTGTATGTGCCTGTGTATGGTGTGCTAGCTATTTAAAATTGTGAGTTAGATTTTTTTTTGACAACAATAAATGGGGCAACACTCAATCACAAACATATTAGAACTCTATTCCAGGTTTCTATGAATGTAAAAAATGTGATGCTCTAATAGTTTGAAAATTAACAAAGCAATATTATAAATTATAAATGTTTTGTGTAAATCAAAAATGTACATTTTGATGAAATCTTTAAATTAAAAATATTTTGATTAAAGATTGTTTTATAGGTTAATTGTGACACACAGTCCACCTAATGATAAGAGGATAGCCATAGACATCTATTTTTATTTTTGATTAAGAATTAAAATGCATATGCGTTGTCACTTCCGAGGACTAACATAGACTGCTTTGTTTCTAGTTAAAGGGGGTTAAAAATACTTAAACATTGTTTACATTCATACAAAATTACCTTGAACATACTTCACTGCATATTATATAGAAGTAATGGAGAACTTTGCCGCAATGTAAGAGTCACAGTACCTATTACATGACAGTCCATACACAACAGTTTACATGGAGTGTTTGAATATAAGGTACATTAATCACTGTTGAATCATTGGTACACTGTACACTAAGCACTAAAGTCATTCGTTGTAGGTGCAGCTGAGGGTGTTAAAGTGGTCGCAATGGCGGGCGGAGAGGTGCGTGTAGTAGCCGATGACACAATTCGCACGGATTGTTCCAACACAACATATACTAATTCCTACGGGTCACTGTACACTAGCACTTGAGTCACTCAGTGTAGATGTCAGCGAAGTTATAGAAGCGGTCGTGGGTGCGGGTGACGAGGCGTACGTAGTAAGTACTCGGTGATACAGTTTCCGTGTAGGAGTCGAACACAAGGTCCAGTAGGGAGGGTCGGCTGGCACAGCAGCGGGTCACTCGGTGTAGGTGCAGGCGAGGATGTAGAAGCGGTCCTGCGGGCGCGCGGCGAGGCGCGCGTAGTACTTGGTGAAGGCGGCGGCGCCCGCGTCGCAGTACACCAGGCTCAGCGCGTTGTTCTGCGGCGGCACCGTCACCAGGGCGCCCTCCCCGCCCTCCCCGCCCTCCCCGCCCTCCGCCTCGTCCTCCGGCGCCACGTAGCTCGTGTGTCCGCCGCACAGCGGCCGCGACGCGCCCGCGTACAGCACGGCCTCCAGCCGCGCGCTGCTGTACGCCTCGCGCGACGCGGGCAGCAGCTGCAACACAACACCACACCACTCTGTACTCCCACTACTGCACCGTCACGTCGCGCTCTAACAACATCTACTGCCGCATATCGACCCGTGGCTGTCGTAAAAAACGACAGTGTAACTGAAACAGGAGATGGACACCAACATCGCCATTCCTGATAACTCAAAATATTAAATAAACTGTGGTTGCCAACCTGGTCCCCAAGCATAACAACTATGGCAAAATCCCCCTATGAAACAATGTATGGGAATGACCTATATTCACCAGTGGACTTTTATAGAGTTATTATTATCAAGAATCAAGTAATATACACTACATTACTATGTGGTACAACCTGCAAACTGTCATCATCTAACAAGTACTAAATATTAGCATTACAATTCCCACTATGTAGTTTCTATATTTCTCCTTCCTAGAATAAATCTAACAAAAAAACACACAGCCCACCTGAACATAAGTAGATACTATACCCCATAAACTTTTACCTCTATTCTCGAATAAGAATCAAAATGCTGATACGTTGTCACCCCTGAGACCAAAATAGAATACTCACCCTCACTCACATAATACTCACCTTACAAAGCCGCAAAATTGAGCTGCTATTTTTTTTACGTTGATATTCTGTGAAAGTGTGGTCCTTTCCCAGTCGAACCGACCCATTCATGCTACAACTATAATTATACAACTCTACCACGTGCAAATAAATTCAATAAACATAATATTAAAAAAAAACTACATACAGTGTAATCTCCCGGCCGCCATTGCTGCAGCTCCAGTCGACTATACTTGGTGAGTTGTAAGTCGGTGCAGTCTGCTAGCATTCGAAGAAATGTTGTACTGCTCATAAGGTGCAGTAGCTCGTGTATCACACCACCTTCGGATTCTGCCCACTGCTGAGAAACTCGACGGTAATGACGCTGCTGCGCGGGCCCCACGTCCTCCCACTCCACCTCTGAAATGCGTAGAACAGAATAGAATAGAATAATTTTTATTCAATATACATTACATGTGTAATTCTTATTGAAAGTCATTTTTTACTTTACCACTGGTTCGAAAAAAACCCTCTGTCCTGGGAAGAACCAGCAAGAAACCCAACGGGACTTATTTTTAAAATTTTACAATATAAATGATTACGAACTATTTACAAAATTTTTTTAGAAACTGCTTAGAAGCGACCACCTCATTCCCAGGGGTTATTATCAACCATGTATACATTTTATACTATAATAACCCTTTTTATACAGTTTCAGCTTAATAAAACATTTAAACTTGGTAATAGAGAGAACCTGTACACTTTCCGGGACTTTGTTGTAATAGCGTATACATTGCCCCAAGAATGCCTAGTGTTTACAGAATGTATATCACTTTTTTTACTAAAACTATCTTTGTTTTTCTGAACATACATTAAATTTTCGTAAATATACTGAGAGGCCAAAGTTAATATATTTATTTCTTTAAATTTATCTCTAAGAGACTCATAAATAATGACCCATCATTGCAACTTCAGTGTTAATCCTATTGTATGCAAGTCATGGAAGTTTATTGTTCCTTTAACTTTGTACTTAACGCAAGTAATTGACACTAATAGGAATTACCATGTTAAAGGTTATTAATAAACGTGTATAAATATAATTTAATAATTAATAAATCTAAAACATCTTCAAAATTTTATAATAATAATCAACTAAAGGACCCAGGTGTAAACCTTGGGGTATGCAGAGCAGTGTATATCAGACTAATTTAAATATTTAAATGCCAAATAATTTTATTAGTATTTATGTTCTTCGAAAACTAATTAATGCTTTTTTACTATTACCACATTTTTCAATTTTGATTTGTTCCTTTGGCAAAATGCATGATTCACTTTATCGAAAGCTTTATTATCTATGTATTGTCTTTGTTTAAAAAAATGCATGTTATTTTAAATCACATAGCAAAGAATGTGTACTTTGCATAAAATTGACCGTCAGAACTTCATCGGGGCCGGCTGAAACTCAGCGCTGCAAGCTCGCGGTATATGCTGAGACGGTCCCTTCCACCACTTCATCATAGCACACCATTTTATTTTTATTATTTATTTTTTTGAATGGACGCACTTTTCTTTATTCAATTTTTTTTGTTTGTTTGTTTATAAGTCACTTGTTTTATTTTTAATTGTAATTTGTCATGTGTGTAGATGTAAGTGTTGGAATAAATGTCTTTATGTCTTTTATTTCGTTTTTTCGTTTTGCTTTAAGAATTGTACCATTCTTATCTATCCATGTTTAAAGCAAATAAATTCAGTAAATAAAATAATAAAGAACTAATTAATAAACGAATATTAATAGATCAAAAACAGTTGTGTAAGTAGAATGCCCACTTTCAACGGTGATCTATTAACGACGACAGCGACGGCGATGTATGGTGTGTATGTATGGTTAAGATTTAGCAGCAGCTGTCACTCGCACGCTCCATCTGCGACTGCACCTGCGGCAGCAGGCAGCAGCAGCAGCAGCAGGCAGCAGGTAGACACGCGACATGTACGTACCGGGGCGGGCCAGCGCGTGCAGCAGCTGCTGGTAGCGCTGCGGCAGCAGCACGTCGCGCAGGCACACCTCGCTCGCACGCTCCATCTGCGACTGCACTTGCGGCAGCAGGCAGCAGCAGCAGCAGCAGGCAGCAGGTAGACACGCGACATGTACGTACCGGGGCGGGCCAGCGCGTGCAGCAGCTGCTGGTAGCGCTGCGGCAGCAGCACGTCGCGCAGGCACACCTCGCTCGCACGCTCCATCTGCGACTGCACTTGCGGCAGCAGGCAGCAGCAGCAGCAGCAGCAGGCAGCAGGTAGACACGCGACATGTACCTACCGGGGCGGGCCAGCGCGTGCAGCAGCTGCTGGTAGCGCTGCGGCAGCAGCACGTCGCGCAGGCACACCTCGCTCGCACGCTCCATCTGCGACTGCACTTGCGGCAGCAGGCAGCAGCAGCAGCAGCAGCAGGCAGCAGGTAGACACGCGACATGTACCTACCGGGGCGGGCCAGCGCGTGCAGCAGCTGCTGGTAGCGCTGCGGCAGCAGCACGTCGCGCAGGCACACCTCGCTCGCACGCTCCATCTGCGACTGCACTTGCGGCAGCAGGCAGCAGCAGCAGCAGCAGCAGGCAGCAGGTAGACACGCGACATGTACGTACCGGGGCGGGCCAGCGCGTGCAGCAGCTGCTGGTAGCGCTGCGGCAGCAGCACGTCGCGCAGGCACACCTCGCTCGCACGCTCCATCTGCGACTGCACTTGCGGCAGCAGGCAGCAGCAGCAGCAGCAGCAGGCAGCAGGTAGACACGCGACATGTACCTACCGGGGCGGGCCAGCGCGTGCAGCAGCTGCTGGTAGCGCTGCGGCAGCAGCACGTCGCGCAGGCACACCTCGCTCGCACGCTCCATCTGCGACTGCACTTGCGGCAGCAGGCAGCAGCAGCAGCAGCAGCAGGCAGCAGGTAGACACGCGACATGTACCTACCGGGGCGGGCCAGCGCGTGCAGCAGCTGCTGGTAGCGCTGCGGCAGCAGCACGTCGCGCAGGCACACCTCGCTCGCACGCTCCATCTGCGACTGCACTTGCGGCAGCAGGCAGCAGCAGCAGCAGCAGCAGGCAGCAGGTAGACACGCGACATGTACGTACCGGGGCGGGCCAGCGCGTGCAGCAGCTGCTGGTAGCGCTGCGGCAGCAGCACGTCGCGCAGGCACACCTCGCTCGCACGCTCCATCTGCGACTGCACTTGCGGCAGCAGGCAGCAGCAGCAGCAGCAGCAGGCAGCAGGTAGACACGCGACATGTACGTACCGGGGCGGGCCAGCGCGTGCAGCAGCTGCTGGTAGCGCTGCGGCAGCAGCACGTCGCGCAGGCACACCTCGCTCGCACGCTCCATCTGCGACTGCACTTGCGGCAGCAGGCAGCAGCAGCAGCAGCAGCAGGCAGCAGGTAGACACGCGACATGTACGTACCGGGGCGGGCCAGCGCGTGCAGCAGCTGCTGGTAGCGCTGCGGCAGCAGCACGTCGCGCAGGCACACCTCGCTCGCACGCTCCATCTGCGACTGCACTTGCGGCAGCAGGCAGCAGCAGCAGCAGCAGCAGGCAGCAGGTAGACACGCGACATGTACCTACCGGGGCGGGCCAGCGCGTGCAGCAGCTGCTGGTAGCGCTGCGGCAGCAGCACGTCGCGCAGGCACACCTCGCTCGCACGCTCCATCTGCGACTGCACTTGCGGCAGCAGGCAGCAGCAGCAGCAGCAGCAGGCAGCAGGTAGACACGCGACATGTACGTACCGGGGCGGGCCAGCGCGTGCAGCAGCTGCTGGTAGCGCTGCGGCAGCAGCACGTCGCGCAGGCACACCTCGCTCGCACGCTCCATCTGCGACTGCACTTGCGGCAGCAGGCAGCAGCAGCAGCAGCAGCAGGCAGCACGTAGACACGCGACATGTACGTACCGGGGCGGGCCAGCGCGTGCAGCAGCTGCTGGTAGCGCTGCGGCAGCAGCACGTCGCGCAGGCACACCTCGCTCGCACGCTCCATCTGCGACTGCACTTGCGGCAGCAGGCAGCAGCAGCAGCAGCAGCAGGCAGCAGGTAGACACGCGACATGTACGTACCGGGGCGGGCCAGCGCGTGCAGCAGCTGCTGGTAGCGCTGCGGCAGCAGCACGTCGCGCAGGCACACCTCGCTCGCACGCTCCATCTGCGACTGCACTTGCGGCAGCAGGCAGCAGCAGCAGCAGCAGCAGGCAGCAGGTAGACACGCGACATGTACGTACCGGGGCGGGCCAGCGCGTGCAGCAGCTGCTGGTAGCGCTGCGGCAGCAGCACGTCGCGCAGGCACACCTCGCTCGCACGCTCCATCTGCGACTGCACTTGCGGCAGCAGGCAGCAGCAGCAGCAGCAGCAGGCAGCACGTAGACACGCGACATGTACGTACCGGGGCGGGCCAGCGCGTGCAGCAGCTGCTGGTAGCGCTGCGGCAGCAGCACGTCGCGCAGGCACACCTCGCTCGCACGCTCCATCTGCGACTGCACTTGCGGCAGCAGGCAGCAGCAGCAGCAGCAGGCAGCAGGTAGACACGCGACATGTACGTACCGGGGCGGGCCAGCGCGTGCAGCAGCTGCTGGTAGCGCTGCGGCAGCAGCACGTCGCGCAGGCACACCTCGCTCGCACGCTCCATCTGCGACTGCACTTGCGGCAGCAGGCAGCAGCAGCAGCAGCAGCAGCAGGCAGCAGGTAGACACGCGACATGTACGTACCGGGGCGGGCCAGCGCGTGCAGCAGCTGCTGGTAGCGCTGCGGCAGCAGCACGTCCCGCAGGCACACCTCGCTCGCACGCTCCATCTGCGACTGCACTTGCGGCAGCAGGCAGCAGCAGCAGCAGCAGCAGGCAGCAGGTAGACACGCGACATGTACGTACCGGGGCGGGCCAGCGCGTGCAGCAGCTGCTGGTAGCGCTGCGGCAGCAGCACGTCGCGCAGGCACACCTCGCTCGCACGCTCCATCTGCGACTGCACTTGCGGCAGCAGGCAGCAGCAGCAGCAGCAGGCAGCAGGTAGACACGCGACATGTACGTACCGGGGCGGGCCAGCGCGTGCAGCAGCTGCTGGTAGCGCTGCGGCAGCAGCACGTCGCGCAGGCACACCTCGCTCGCACGCTCCATCTGCGACTGCACTTGCGGCAGCAGGCAGCAGCAGCAGCAGGCAGCAGGTAGACACGCGACATGTACGTACCGGGGCGGGCCAGCGCGTGCAGCAGCTGCTGGTAGCGCTGCGGCAGCAGCACGTCGCGCAGGCACACCTCGCTCGCACGCTCCATCTGCGACTGCACTTGCGGCAGCAGGCAGCAGCAGCAGCAGCAGCAGGCAGCACGTAGACACGCGACATGTACGTACCGGGGCGGGCCAGCGCGTGCAGCAGCTGCTGGTAGCGCTGCGGCAGCAGCACGTCGCGCAGGCACACCTCGCTCGCACGCTCCATCTGCGACTGCACCTGCGGCAGCAGGCAGCAGCAGCAGCAGCAGGCAGCAGGTAGACACGCGACATGTACGTACCGGGGCGGGCCAGCGCGTGCAGCAGCTGCTGGTAGCGCTGCGGCAGCAGCACGTCGCGCAGGCACACCTCGCTCGCACGCTCCATCTGCGACTGCACTTGCGGCAGCAGGCAGCAGCAGCAGCAGCAGGCAGCAGGTAGACACGCGACATGTACGTACCGGGGCGGGCCAGCGCGTGCAGCAGCTGCTGGTAGCGCTGCGGCAGCAGCACGTCGCGCAGGCACACCTCGCTCGCACGCTCCATCTGCGACTGCACTTGCGGCAGCAGGCAGCAGCAGCAGCAGCAGGCAGCAGGTAGACACGCGACATGTACGTACCGGGGCGGGCCAGCGCGTGCAGCAGCTGCTGGTAGCGCTGCGGCAGCAGCACGTCGCGCAGGCACACCTCGCTCGCACGCTCCATCTGCGACTGCACTTGCGGCAGCAGGCAGCAGCAGCAGCAGCAGGCAGCAGGTAGACACGCGACATGTACGTACCGGGGCGGGCCAGCGCGTGCAGCAGCTGCTGGTAGCGCTGCGGCAGCAGCACGTCGCGCAGGCACACCTCGCTCGCACGCTCCATCTGCGACTGCACTTGCGGCAGCAGGCAGCAGCAGCAGCAGCAGCAGGCAGCAGGTAGACACGCGACATGTACGTACCGGGGCGGGCCAGCGCGTGCAGCAGCTGCTGGTAGCGCTGCGGCAGCAGCACGTCGCGCAGGCACACCTCGCTCGCACGCTCCATCTGCGACTGCACTTGCGGCAGCAGGCAGCAGCAGCAGCAGCAGCAGCAGGCAGCAGGTAGACACGCGACATGTACGTACCGGGGCGGGCCAGCGCGTGCAGCAGCTGCTGGTAGCGCTGCGGCAGCAGCACGTCGCGCAGGCACACCTCGCTCGCACGCTCCATCTGCGACTGCACTTGCGGCAGCAGGCAGCAGCAGCAGCAGCAGCAGCAGGCAGCAGGTAGACACGCGACATGTACGTACCGGGGCGGGCCAGCGCGTGCAGCAGCTGCTGGTAGCGCTGCGGCAGCAGCACGTCGCGCAGGCACACCTCGCTCGCACGCTCCATCTGCGACTGCACTTGCGGCAGCAGGCAGCAGCAGCAGCAGCAGCAGCAGGCAGCCGGTAGACACGCGACATGTACGTACCGGGGCGGGCCAGCGCGTGCAGCAGCTGCTGGTAGCGCTGCGGCAGCAGCACGTCGCGCAGGCACACCTCGCTCGCACGCTCCATCTGCGACTGCACTTGCGGCAGCAGGCAGCAGCAGCAGCAGCAGCAGCAGGCAGCCGGTAGACACGCGACATGTACGTACCGGGGCGGGCCAGCGCGTGCAGCAGCTGCTGGTAGCGCTGCGGCAGCAGCACGTCGCGCAGGCACACCTCGCTCGCACGCTCCATCTGCGACTGCACTTGCGGCAGCAGGCAGCAGCAGCAGCAGCAGCAGCAGGCAGCCGGTAGACACGCGACATGTACGTACCGGGGCGGGCCAGCGCGTGCAGCAGCTGCTGGTAGCGCTGCGGCAGCAGCACGTCGCGCAGGCACACCTCGCTCGCACGCTCCATCTGAGACTGCACTTGCGGCAGCAGGCAGCAGCAGCAGCAGCAGCAGCAGGCAGCCGGTAGACACGCGACATGTACGTACCGGGGCGGGCCAGCGCGTGCAGCAGCTGCTGGTAGCGCTGCGGCAGCAGCACGTCGCGCAGGCACACCTCGCTCGCACGCTCCATCTGCGACTGCACTTGCGGCAGCAGGCAGCAGCAGCAGCAGCAGGCAGCAGGTAGACACGCGACATGTACGTACCGGGGCGGGCCAGCGCGTGCAGCAGCTGCTGGTAGCGCTGCGGCAGCAGCACGTCGCGCAGGCACACCTCGCTCGCACGCTCCATCTGCGACTGCACTTGCGGCAGCAGGCAGCAGCAGCAGCAGCAGGCAGCAGGTAGACACGCGACATGTACGTACCGGGGCGGGCCAGCGCGTGCAGCAGCTGCTGGTAGCGCTGCGGCAGCAGCACGTCGCGCAGGCACACCTCGCTCGCACGCTCCATCTGCGACTGCACTTGCGCGCGGATCCGCGGCGACATGTACGGCGCGTCCACCCACTGGTTCAGTAACACCTGCACAGAATAATCGCCTCATGAATGATAAAGGAAAACTAAAAAAAGACTCAATATCCATTTCAATGAAGTTTACTTGGGGTAGTGAAGCATAAGGTGATTGAGGAAGGGCATATTTATTAGTTGCTAGTATGCATCGATTATAAAAAAAGTATGAAGAGCTTACGACGTCAGAATGCGGACGCAGTGTGGGTGCGGGCGGGGCGAGCAGGGCGGGCGGGGGCGGCGCCAGGGCTGGCGGGTCGGGCGGCTCGGGGCCGTGGAACCAGCCGTTGATGGACAAACGTGGCAGCTCCAGCGACACCACCTCGCCTACCTGAGAACAAATATTACCCATCACCACATACATACATACATATAATCACGCCTCTTTCCCGTAGGGGTAGGCAGAGACCAGTTCTTTCCACTTGCTACGATCCTTACATACTTGTTTTGCTTCGTCCATTTTCATCACCACCACGCACGCAAATACACGCGTATACACATGTGCACACAAACACGCGTTTATACACACGTACGCACTTACACGCGTATACACACGTACGCACATACACGCAAATACATGCGTACGCACATACACACGTACACACATGTATGTACATATACATATATACACACACACGCGTATACATACGTATGCACATACATATGTATACACACGCACACGTATACACATATACACTTATACGCACATATACAAGTATACACACGTACGCACATACACACACGTATACTCACGTACGCAAATACAAATAATTGCTCAGAGTATGTGTATGCATCTACGTCCATACACATATCATTAATTTATGTACAATAAAATAAAACTTTAATATAATGGATTTCCGCAAAGTGACACCTGATTCCATTAATTATATATTGTAGTTTCTTCAGATATGTTCCCTGAATATTTTATAATGTTGAGTTGTTATCAAGATATGTTCATTTATTTATATTATAAACCGAATAAACCGAAGCTGAATATATATATATATATATATATATATATATATATATATATATATATATATATATATATAAGACGTAAGATATATTGTTTTTAGGGTTGACTAAAAGAAACTATGTTGTGTTGCTCTGTGAACAAAGTTTTATATTTTATTAATTTTAAGTTCCATTACGAAACTACACTATTACAATAATAACTAAAAACAAACCTGTAAACAAAGAAACGACATTTAAAGTTTATTCCTTAATATGTCAATTCCCTTTGTAACAATACTGTTTTTAATAAACTTAAATTATAATTTTCTACAGGCAGCTTATCATTGTCAACAGTCAATACAGTCAATATGTTATTTCACAGATTCTATCTACACTACACAAATACAGATAAAACCACAGATAAAACACACAGATATAATATTAAAGAAATACATTTTCTTTACATATATTAATATATATATATATATATATATATATGTATATATATATATATATACTGCTGGCCGGATGAGGAAGCTCAAGTCGCTCAGAGAGCTATGGAGAGGGCTATGCTCGGAGTTTCTCTGCGTGATAAACTTAGACATGAGGGTATCCACAGTAGAACCAAAGTGACCGACATAGCCCAACGGATTAGTAAGCTGAAGTGGCAATGGGCCGGCCATATAGCTCGAAGAACCGACAACCGATGGGGAAAAAAGGTTCTCGAGTGGCGGCCTCGTACCGGCGGACGAAGTGTAGGGCGTCCCCCCACTAGATGGAGTGACGACCTGGTAAGATATGCAATGCAGGAAGTCAATGGATGCAGGTGGCTCAGGACCGTGCTTTGTGGCATTCTTTGGGGGAGGCCTATGTTCAGCAGTGGACTTGTGAAGGGCTGTAATGATGATATATATATACAAGGTATATATTTAAATAGTTTTTAGTAGTATTTTTTCACAATATATGTATATTATAATAAAACAAGCACATCATTCATCATCATAGTTGTTGGGAACACTAAGCTCGAAGTTGTTGACGAGTATGTTTACCTGGGACAAATAGTCCGACTAGGTAAGTCCAAACAAGCACATCTTCCACCAATTGTATTTGAGTCCAAATTATTCACCATAAGTCACCTGTAGGTGTCATAAAGCATCCATTGTAGGCACAAAATTTGTCCCTAAATAAAATATTTCATATTTCATCACACCATCAAGCACAATATAGTCATTTTATGAATCAATTAACTTTCTTTGGAAGTGCTTGGTCTTTTTCATTCACTATGTAACTTCTGTTCATATTTGACTGTCTAAATAATGGTCCCAAATTTTAGTTTTTGGCTTGTTGGTATGGCTGTTGTAATAGTCCCCATAGTTGTATGTCTGACCCTGAGTAATATGAAAGAGTGTGTGTCTCTGTGTTGTTTGTATGACTTATGCATGATTAGAATGTTCAGTACACAAGTGAGCCTCTCCCCTCCGTTGCGTGTGAGCACTGACCTGGTGGAAGGAGTCATGTCCGACCCTGAAGAAGGCGAGCATGTTGTTGCGCGGGTAGACGCGGTGCTGCACGGCGGCCGCGCGGCCCTGCTCGTCGCGCCCCAGCAGCTCCAGGGCGCCCCCCAGCCGTTCTTCCCAACCGCACCACCCACGCTTCGACTCCTGCAAGGTCACATCATCAGCATTTATTTCTAGTAAAAACTTCTTGAGTTTTGTTTGATTCAACTTGTTGAGTTTGAACTATCTGAACAGTGACAGAAAGTGAACCGCCACACTCAGCTCAGTGACACTGAATCAGGTTTACTCGGCTCCACTTATTAAAGTAATATATACTATGTACTAAAACAGCCACCTAGTTTTGTTTGTTTGCAACACGTGTTAGACACCATGGGCTCTAACTCAATTAGTTTATGCCAACTGTGTACTCGTACATAAGTACATTATACTTCAATGGCTCCACGACACTGGGTTACTACACCGGCTTGGTGAATCGTGTATACTCAGCTACAGTAGTCATTAAGTCACGTTTCCTATCTGACAAGAAGTGCATCCATCCAGTAATTACGTTTTTATAAACGAAATTAAAAAAAATGAAAAATCACAAGTTTTCACTTCTGTCGTGTGGTCATAAGCACATACCTATTTTCTGTATTGCGGGGGCAATTTACATACATGAATTGAAAGTATTACATGGCCTGTAAATAATTATTCTAGCTCTGGATGTTACTCCTTTTTGAAATTTATATATAACTAGCTCGTCAGGCAGACATTGTTCTGCCCTTTCCAATTACCCTTCCTATAAAAATCCTTAATTTCGCAATAAAAAAATTAGTACGGCATTTATCGGGATAAAAACTATCCTATCTCTCAAGTTGGACCAAAATGGCATATTGTACAAAATTTCATTGAAATCGGTTACATGGCCTGTAAATAATTGTTCTGGCTCTGGATGTTACTCCTTTTTGAAATTTATATATAACTAGCTCGTCAGGCAGACATTGTTCTGCCCTTTCCAATTACCCTTCCTCTAAAAATCCTTAACTTTGTAGTTCATTTGCACAAAAAATTTGTAGGTCATTTATCGGGATAAAAACTATCCTATCTCTCAAGTTGGACCAAAATGCATACAGTGTACAAAATTTCATTGAAATCAGTTCAGTAGTTTAAGAGTCCATTGCGGACGAACAATGTGACACGTAATTTTTATATATAAAGATTATGTCAACTGCCCCCACGATATAGGAGAAAATAGTGTGGCAGTAACATTATTTTAAAAAGAGGAAAATGAAGAATGCTACAAAAAAGAAAATTAAAAATGATTAATCAGTTACCATGTTGGTGCCATTAAGCAGCGCTCGGGAATGCACGGTGGGGGCCAGGTACAGAATAAAGGCGATACGGCGGTCGGCCAACATATCGTCGTGTACTAGCAGGTGGTCGCCTGGACCGTACAGCGAGCACGATGCGGAGACCGACGTCAAACGCAGACCAGTCACCTCCGACACCTGGGACCAGGCCAGCTCTTAATCTTAATGTCCTCCAGACTGAATTTCGGTCATGGCCCCAAATGTATACTTTGATATTAGAAAGACCCTATTTACACAAGTTTATATTTTGTTTAAGCAATGATTGGGCGGCAGTAGGAAAATCAAAAAGGAATTTCAGATATTTCTACTCGTGATATTTCTCAAAAGATCTCTTGATCAGATTTTATTAAGTTTAATATTAACATTGAATGGAAATTTTGCATTATAGTTTCATTTTTTTTTATAGGATAGTGTGACAAACGAGCACACAGTCCACCTGATGGTAAATGGTTGCTGTGGCCCATAAACATCTACATTCATCCTCGTTTGCAAAGTTTTATCATACTAGTTTTGTGCTATCAATTATTTCAATGTAATTTTACTGGTGGCAGTCTTAATGTGGTGTCTTAAAATTGAGCAGTGTTTGAATATTTATGCATAAATATTATATTAGTTATTTAAATTATAATATAACTTACCCAACTCATAACTTCAGTCTTTAATAACTCATAAATTCCTCTAATACTCCGTTGCCAAGTTAGATTTGCCAGGTCAGTGGTTTGATGGAACTCGTAAAGATCCATTTTCTTACGAGACCAGTCCAGTGTGTTCATGTCATCAACAATATTGTTAATGATCTCAGGATTTTCAAGCAAATCATGGAGCAAGCAGAGACGGAATGGTTCACAGGTTAGAGTCACTTCATCGCTTGAATAATCTTTTGCTTCAGACCAATGGTTAGTCAATTTGGTTTTTATTTCTTGTGACTGAAAAAATAATGATGTCATTCATTAAGCCTGTAGTACATAGCCACCTTATTGTGAAGATGTAAGAGAATCCACTTCCCCATATCATCCCTTGGGTATCCTAAGACACGAAAGAGAGAAACTGCAGCAGCTTGCTTGCCAATACCCCCACTAAGTGCTGCAACTGTGAAAAATATCCTCCAAGGCAATCAATGGAGAAGGCCTATGTTCAGCTGTGGATATAAGTAAAAGTAAAGGCCAGAAGTTACCATTATATACCATGATGACCTGATTGACCATCCTTACCCAGCCCATCATTTAGGTAGGCCACATTATTTAGACCATGATATATATCTTAAGTAGTTATTCTTCATTAAGTCTTAACATATTTTTTTTAACATTTCCTTTTGTTTAATTTAACAATGCCCACAGATATAGTTACACAAATTAAAAGACAAACTAGAAAATAAATATAGACTACATAATATTATTGCTTCTTTAAGCACTTCCCACTTTCACCTTTTGCCATTCAGTTCAATGCATTCACTTTTACCTCATTGTCTCTATAATTGAGTCCAATTCAGAATTACTTTCAAACAAAAAATATAAATACAAAACAGCATTGTATAATTATATCCAGCACTCCAAGGACTAGTTTATAGTAGAATAGAATAGAATAGAATATTTTTTATTCAATATACATTACATGTGTAATTCTTATTGAAAGTCATTTTTTACTTTACCACTGGTTCGAAAAAAACCCTCTGTCCTGGAAAGAACCAGCAAGAAACCCAGCGGGACCTTTTTTTTAAAATAAATTTTACAATATAAATGATTACGAACTATTTACAAAATTTATTTTAGAAACTGCTTGGAAGCGATCACCTCATTCCCAGGGGTTATTATCAACCATGTATTCATTTATACTATAATAACCCTTTTTATACAGTTTCAGCTTAATAAAACATTTAAACTTGGTAATAGAGAGAACCTGTACACTTTCCGGGACCTTGTTGTAATAGCGTATACATTGCCCCAAGAATGAATTACTGACTCTGTGGAGTCGAGAAACTGGTATCACTAGCTTGTGTTTGTTCCTAGTGTTTACAGAATGTATATCACTTCTTTTACTAAAACTATCTTTGTTTTTGTGAACATACATTAAATTTTCGTAAATATACTGAGAGGCCAAAGTTAATATATTAATTTCTTTAAATTTATCTCTAAGAGACTCTCTCGGTTTTAGATTGTAAATAGCTCTAATGGCCCTCTTCTGTAAAACAAAAATAGTTTCTGAATCAGCCGCATTTCCCCATAGCAAAATCCCATAAGACATTATGCTATGAAAATAGATAGTGGTAGATAACAGCCACCTAGTAACTTTCCACATACAATATGACTTGATCAGTTCCAGGTCAAGTTAATCTAACCATGGTATAATAATAATTATCTATATGTATACATATTGTTGATTTACTTATAATAAGTTACTAGTTTATCTCTATCAAGACAATTAGATGTTATAAAATATTTGAAATATAAAACTTTTAGAATTTTAAGATATTTTAGATTTTTAGCATACCTTTAATAATGGATTAAACTTAGGATCATCCATTCTATGTGCCCTAGGGTTGAGTTGAGACTTCACCAATTTACTATGAACCTTGTCTTCTACCAATATAGAGTCATCTTCCCATGGTGACTCTGAATCAGAACTATAATCTGACGATGATGAAGATGAAGAGTATTCTGCTGCAAAATTAAAAATATTTATTTATTTAGACAAAAATAATAATGAAAAGCCGTTCGAAATATTCACAACATCATTTTTAACCATTCACAATTTTCGGTTAAAGTAGTTAAGCAAAAGTTATACTCCAATGTACTAGACTGCTATCCTACAAACTATCTTAACATTTATTTATCATTAAAATTCTCATATTATTAACAAAATAAAGTATTATTAGGCATTGCAATATTCTAAATCACTTTTGAATTTAAAGTTCCCGCGCAAACAAACATTTTACAAAGCTAAAAACCGAAACTCGTTTAATCTAAACAACTTACTACCGCGAATTCTCTTCACCTCATCAGCAGAGGCCTGGTATGAGTTTACTGCACAAACATCTGAATCGTCGCTTTCGGTGTCTGAAATTTCAATAACAGTGCTAGAAAGACGGCGCTTGGCGGGCGGTCGTTCCTGCGCCGCCGACGCACCCGGATCACCGCTTCCACTAGCTGCATTTTTTTCCGGCGAGCTAGTTGATGTCGGTTCTTCGGTTTCTTTACTTGGTGAACTCATTTTAACATTCCAATACTACATAATACTTGACAAAAACAATGCGAAACAAAAATGATGCGAAGCCTAACCTCAAATTTTAATTTGATTGATTTTTTTTTTTGGAGTTTATGGCCTGGCATCTAGACCTTTAGGCCAAATTTGATTGACATTCTAATTTAAGTTGCCAGTAGCGATGGTGTTGAATCAACGAATTAGTTGAATCAACCGTTGATCTCCAGTCAACGTATTAACGTTAACTGTTTATGAATCAACTAGTTGAATTCGTCAACGACGTTTATGAATTTAACAAAATAAAATTTAATAATCGAGAACGCAATCGCAACAAACAGAGCAAATTAAAATTATACGTTGAAAATAACGTCATATTGCCAACGACGGTCACGTCATACAATTTGAACTCTAAGGAACGTATAAAAGAGTCTATCTTTTAAATATTTATTTTAAGAATAGTACTTATGATGATTACCTTAGTAGAATGGCGTCCTCCCTCTCGTGCTTGTTAATACTATTTTTTTCTTTACGTTTGACTTTGGAACGATATGACGTTCGCTTTCTTTAATTTTTGATTGACAGTTTGTGACAAGTTGCGCGGAAGGTCAGAAATTATTTTGCGGCTTACTGTAAATGTTTAAGAGTTTAGATTTTTTAGTTAATGAATCACCTAAGTAGAACCATCAATCAAACGTTTTCCAATACATACATTGAATCTAATTGTTTCTAAAATTGAACGTCGCAGCGTTGAATTAAAACCGTTCTATGAATTAACGGTTTACAATGCAAGTTCACGTTAGTAGTACGTTAACTAGTTGACGAATTTAACTAGTTGATTAAACAATTGACAAACGTAAATCAACATTAATGTTTCGTTAACGGAATAACCATCAACGACCCATCGCTAGTTGCCAGCTACCAAATACCAACCATAGAGCTGTAATATTAATAATGCCAAAAAGAACCAACTATAATTATTACTATGATTTCGCTTAGGATCATTCCCTTAATCAATGTTGAGTATATTTCCTAATACGTAATTTCCGGATGGTAGCCCTGCATTAGGCGCAAAAAGAACGAAAAAAAATCCAGTACTCGAACGGCACGGCACACACACATTTTATAGCGGGGGATTTTATAAGCAGATTTTATATTATATATTTTTTTTATATATACTATAAATAAAAACACTGCGGTTGCCAACCCGCTTACCAAGCGTGGCAGCTATAGCAAATATCCCCCCTATGAGGCTATCTATGAGGGAGGTCTATGTTCAACGGTGACTTTAATAGACTGTAACGGTATAACGCGAGGGAAGTTAATTTATTAGATAAGTAAGAGATTAATATTTATTTTTGAAATATTTTATTAGAAATGTGAAAAAAAAAAGAATACAGTACTGTATAACAGATAAGTTCACCTCAGTTTCTACTAGGGACATCAGAGGAACATAAAATTATTAGCTCTCATTATCGACAAGATAGAGTTTTAGCGGAACATTGACTGCCGCGCTGCGCCGGCGGATCGCTGCTCCTATAATTGTGATTAAAGCTTAATATAATGGTTTGAAGTGGATTTCGATAAGCAAAATTACGTTTTTTGGTGTGATTTTGTGTATTAAATGTCTGCACATGTAAACATCTTCATCTGTTAGGCTGGTTTTTCACTATGGGATATAACATATATCATATCACGAAATATAAATTATATCCCACAATTGGCTTACACACTGTGAGATATATCTTTTAACTAGTGTACGTTCTTTATTGGTCATTGGATTACCCCCCTTTACCCCGTACACCGTTCTGAGGGGGCTCGGAACTGTGTGCGGGGTACAGGGGGCGAAATATAATATGAAAATATCGCCCGGTCGATCGAAAAAATATTTATAGCTTGAGCTGTAATATATATTATAGCTCAGTGTAAACGGTTCCATATGAAATGTATGGTGAGCGATATTAATTTATACCTCGAGATGTAATATATATTATATTATATCCCATAGTGAAAAGCGGGCTGCCCGCATGGATCGGCTTTTAGATGCCTATCTAAAAGCCGATCCATGCGGGCAGTTGCAGGCATAGGTGACATTTCAGAGTTAAGAAAGAATAAAAGTCAGTGAGAGAACAAATATTACGAAATTCTTTATCGGGCGGTATGGATTTGGCGGATGGGAGCTAGGCGGCAAAAAGTGTAAGATTTTTCCGTCATGATATCTTCTGACGGAGTATAATATCCATCTCCCTCACATTTTTCTTATCTTGCCACAAAAGAAATATTATTTTATTTTATATGACGCTTCATTTTAATAGATGCTAGTAATTTTTTTTTTATAGCAGAGGGGCAAACGAGCATGCGACTCACCTGATGAACAACTGCATCACCAGGGGAATTGCAGATGCGTTGCCGGCTTTTTAAAAAGGAGTAGGCTCTTTTCTTGAAGGTCCCTAATTCGTATTGGTCCAGAAAAATGACTGGTGGTAATCGATTCAACAAGGAAGTTGTGCGAGGAAGAAAACTTCTTCTAAATCGCACTGGTGGACCGCCAATCATCCAGATGATATGGATGGTATCGCGAGTTTTGTAGCGATGTGCGATGGTGAAATTGAGCGGCTGGAATTAGTCCGAACAATTCCTCAGAGCACTCCCCGTGATAGATGCGAATTAATTTATTTGTATTTGTTATTCAATAATATAATACGTTTATCAATAAATAATATATTATGAAAGGAACTTCGTTCCACCTGAGTGTTCCACGACACTCTTTTTAATTTTAAAATTAAATATGATTATGATAAAAGTTGAATTTAGTGGAATTTTGACAGAAATGTGTTTCCCAAGTGGTGTAATAACTGCAGTGAAAGTTGAGCTAAAGAAGTGCAGGACAGAAATTACTGGTTTTAGCTCAATTAAAATGTCATTGGGCGTATCGATACCATCAACGAGCGAATCTCTTCTCTAGAAAAGAAAATGGAAGTGACGTCGCACTCCCACTGATATCCTTGACCTCAAATCACAAGTTAATGAACGCGACTAAGACGTTGCTTTATGATATCGGGATATATGGCGTGTCTGCAGTCAGATGAGAAAATGTTGTCCATATTGTGATAATGGCTGCTAATAAACTGGCCATTACCTTGGACGAGTGCGATGTATTGTCAACGGAAAGAGTTGGATCGGTGTGCAAAAATCACGTGGGAGGTGAGGGTATAGACCCGGGTAAGCCGGGCTTGAACCCGCTTATCATTATCACAAATGCTTATCTTGGTGTGGCTAGCACGGCGCGCGCTGCGTGATAAGCTGCTGCGTGTAGTGCGGGCAGATTGCTCTTCATGTTGTATCGTTTAATTAAGTAGTAAAAGTTAGTTGATTTTGTATATTAAACGTCTGCTCATGTGAATTAGTGGAAACGACATCACATGTGCTTTGATGGTGTTATGAATCTCAAGTCTTTTTATTCGCTAAAGTGGCTAGGATACTATTACCATCAACTATCCGTTGGGTTAAGCTGTTTTTAAATTTTTTAAAATATTATGAAGAATTTTAATATTAATCACATCCGAATAGATTGGCTGTATGGTCAATACCTTTGCCTATCTTCATTGGCGAATCTTTGCAAGAAAGCCAGCACCCAGCAATAACCTCAAAATTTATTTATCTGTATTGATCTTTATCGCTTTATTCACAGAGTACATTAAACGTAGTGATTATATTCTCTTTGGAGTACATTACCACTTACCAGAAAGCTTTATCCTTTGTAATTAATAGGCACGTATTTACGTTAACACAAATAGTATTATACTAACGTATAATTAGAATTAAACCCATGGCATCACAATGTCAATTTTACGTATTACGGAAAAAACGGCTTTGTCGCATGACAGTACGACCTGGGAAACAATTCTGTGGTGAACATGAACCTCACCCAATGACTGATGATGGTCAAGTATGCACAAGTCAGCATTTTTTTATTTCTTAACCGGTGTACATTTTATGAAACCGTTTGTAGTTACGTTTTCAAGGATATCAATATTTGCAATTTTTTTTATCAAAAGACTGCCTTGGCAGTTGGTCTAGTGATTGTAGTAGTGCGACTGCTGATCATGAGGTCCGGGTTCGAATCCCGGGTTGGGCCAAAAAATCAAAATAATACTGAGCTTTTCTATCGAGAAATTCTCAGTAGCTGCCCAGAGTCAGGAAGTTTGCAGTGTCTCATCCCGTGCCTCGGAAAGCACGTAAAGCCGTTGGTTCAGTGCCTAATGCCTCTCTGGTCTTGTTGGTTTACCGTCCCATCAGACTCTGAGAGTGAGGGAATAGAGAGTGCACCTGTGCCTGTGCATACACTTGGGCACTATAATCCTGTCCTGCGCGGCTAGTCTCCGTGGAGACTGGCCATCATGACTGAAATTCGGTTTGGAGGACATTATTATTATTACCAAGAAGACTGAACAAATAAGAACAAACAGTATAATAACAAGACTTGTATTTGTCCCTTTGAATTAAACTGCAGAAGTGCAGAACACGCTTGTCCTTATGTATTGTAGATATATCCTCATCCTAATACACAAGAAATAATGAAACTAAATACTATGTTTGTTTTATATTTACCCATATTTTTGTACTATGTTTTTAAACATATTTTTTTTTGTTGTAGGATGACCCTCGTATTCCATGTCCAAATGATCCAAAACAGTGAGTAAGGAGTAATGGGTACTAATTTTAACTGAATAATTGTAATACACATTTAGTTTCCATTAATCAATTATTATAAATGAATTTATTTTAAACTGCATAGATGACCACAATAATTAATACAACATGTATAAAGGAATTCAAATTAGTTCACTATTTAAATAAATATCTATTTTGCAAATTTGAAATTTATGACATTCCTATTATGGGACATTTAATTTTTTTGAACTTCAATGTAGAGTTATAGATAATAACATGTTACAAAATATAACAATTTTACAGCTGATGTTAGCATTATTGCATATGAGAGAAATGACAGAGATAGTAATTATTTACTTGGAATTATAGTGCAACTATAGCAAATATTCCCTCTTGACGAAATCTTGTTCAGCTGCATACTTCTGATAGGCTGTAATGAAAGAATAAAAAATTATGCAATTTAGTAAAAGTTAGCCCATAGTGCTAGCCAGTACTAACTACAACCTAGATATACTACATTTTTAGTTTCTCTGTTACACCATGTTTTTAATTTAGTGTACTGACTCACTTTTTATGCCAAAGATCATAATTTAGAAAGTGAAACCTCTTATTGTGTACTTAAAAAATTGATGTAAACTCATGGTTCTTATAGCACATGCTATGCAAGCAAACTACAAAAACATCTCTCGATCTGCAATGCACGTCAACGTGAGGAGCCAGAATACATAGTTAGAAATATCAATGTGTCTCCAATGACTGATGTGAGTACAAGGCGACCTCTAAATGAATACGCCCCATATGAAATACATAAAGTTATTGATAAAGTCAACTTACTGTATAACGGTGAGATTTATTTTAACATAATTATCAATGAAATACAAAAATGTTTTTTTTTATTTATTTCTATTTAATTTTTCTCACCCATTATATTTAACTAAATTTGAATTCATTTTTGAAAGCATTGCTAGTCTAAAAATATTTCCATTATAATTATTGTTGGAACAATATTAGTGCTGTGATGTATGCACTAACTGCTCACTTGCTTTAAAGCTACTGACACAAATTTGAGCACTGCACTCTATCTACTGTAAATAAGAAATAATAAAAAAAAAATAACCATGAGTCAAAAACAGTGACATATTATTCCAGTCATTTAGTACAAGAAAATTTTCTGATTAAATATTGAGATTAATTTTTAGATCATGTGGCGGGTAATATTGAGACCATCCCTGAAAAGCCAATACATGAAACAGTATTAGAGGAGTTTTCCACTCCTGGACGGACTGAGAGTTCTTTACGACATTTAAGACAAGCTTCTAGTATACTGTATTTGGTTGAGGCTGCTGGACTGGTGCATGATAAGACTTGTTATGTGGAATTAGGTGCTGGAAAAGGTAAGTCATTGTATACAAAACAACATAAACAAAAGTTATCTGTGTGAGACATATTAGTACCACAGCTTTTTTCAATATAGCACTGAAATATATATCTTTATATATAAAAATTACATGTCACATTGTTTGTCCGCGATGCGCTAAACTACTGAACTGATTTCAATGAAATTGTGCACACTGTATGCAGTTTGGTCCAACTTGAGAGATAGGATAGTTTTTATCCCGATAAGTGACCCTCAGTATTTTTTATTGTGTATTTAAGGATTTTTATAGTACAAAGGTTCGCTGCTAAAGGCAGAACAACGTCTGCCTGGTCAGCTAGTATATATATAATAATGGCACTGAAAATAAGATTAAAGGTAGTGGCTTAGCAATGAGTTGCAATGCTTAGGGCCACGCAAATTCTGCACGGAACAAGTATTGTATGGCCTACAAATAATTGTTCTGGGTGTAAATGTTTGCCCTTGTGAAATTTATGTTTGTAAACTGCTTTCATGATACAGGAGAAAATCTTAGTGTTGAGGTAATGCTTTTAAGAAAAGAAAAAAAAAGGAAGGAGACTCAGATATTTAATTTAGCTTTGGAAAATCCATCACCCTATTTTGTCCCATTTCAATAGGTGTTGTAAGAAGCTATTAAGGAAAATGCCCGAAATATGAGCTCCCATGCCTGTCTATTCCATTTGGCATGATCCTGACACACCTCTTAAAGATATATGCTTGTCATTTAAAGGCACTCATAATTTGACCCATCTATAATATATCACCAATTTGAGTGATAACTTACATCTAAGGTGTCCCTTGCTGACATATAGCATAAATTTGCTTTGTCACTCTTTCCTCGTTCATTCTTGTGCATGTCCAAAATGCTAAAGCATTATTTTCGTAATACTGTTCAAAATATATTTTTTCTTTATCACACGATTTCTCACTATATTATTCAGTCACCTCTCACATACTTATTAATTCATATCTACAGCATGAACTCTACTGTCGTGCTTCTTCTACCACACCCAACTTTGACTACCATACATTAAGGTAGGGACTAACACAGCATTGTGAATTCCCATATGTGCCTTTTGGCACATTCTGACTTCCCAAAATAGAGTGATGGTCCCAATTTCTCTGTGTTCTGCATTCACTGCGAATGTCGACAAAATCATATGGCTTCCCATAAATAGCAGTATAACCATTTTTTTTACTTCGGGGTAAAATACCCAAAGGCGACGAGGAGCAGATGCTCTCGTCTGGTACTGCGATGGGAGCATGTAAGACTTTTTTGCCACCAGGGCGGCGCCACTCAAGAATGAGGTATAATATTTCATAGCAAAGGAAGTTAATTTGTAAGAAAAGTGTAGAAATTAATATTTTTTCTGTGAATTTTTTTTATATTTTATATGAATTACATTAAAAATGGATTATCTTCACGCACAATCCCTGACGGGGTAGCCAGAGAGAACAGATCGCCAAGTGTCACGATCCTTACATATCTCTTTCGCTTCTTTCAGATTCATTATCTTCTTCATACATGCACGTCTAGGTATCCGAGTACTCTTGACCCTACCCTCTTCGAGCAATTTGCTCACATGGTCTTCGAAAGTTAGTCTCGGTCTACCTCGACACCTTTTAATATTAACTTTCGCGCTATATATTTTCTTCACCATTCGGTCTTCACTCATTCGCTCAACGTGCCCAAACCACCGAAGCACGCCCTTATCAATTTTTGTGATAAGGTCATCTTTCAAACCTGCCATATTGCGAATCTCTTCGTTTCGCTTTCGGTCGGCCATAGTAATGCCGCACATTTTACGAAGAGATCGCATCTCCACTGCATTTAACTTACTTTTATGCTTCTTCTGGCATACCCAGGTTTCGCTGCCATATAACAAAGTCGGTACCAACACTGCGTTATGTATTGCAAGGCGTGCACTCTTCGCTACGCCTTGCCTTTTGACTAACGCAGTCAGGGCACCATTGACTTTGTTCCCGGCAGCGACACGCCTGTCCACATCTAAATCACATCTTCCATCCCGGCTAAAAGCACTCCCCAAGTATACAATTTCATTTACTTGTTCTAGACATTCCTGATTTACCCATATTTCACACTTCGTTCTCTCTTCGTCCCTTTCAAATACCAGAACCTTAGTTTTATTAGCATTCAAACGGAGACCTTTAATTTCACATTCCTCTTTCATACACGTGACTAATGCCTGCAGTTCTGCCTCTGATGGTGCAATAAGCACTGCATCATCAGCATACAGCAGACAATTTACTTTTATGTCACCCAATTTCACACCCAAACAGCTATCTTTCAGCTTTTGTAAACAGCTGTCGAGATACAGTATGAACAGCCAGGAAGACATGACACAACCCTGTTTTACGCCCGTTTGGACGCTAAACATGGGTGACAGGTCATGCCCTACCCGCACACAGGCTTTACAGTCACAGTAAAGAGACTGCACAGCCCTTAGCAATCGGCCATCCACACCATACCCCGGCAACAGTTCCCACATTTTCTTCCTTACAACCTTATCAAATGCTTTCTCAAGATCCACAAAAGCACAGAAAATCTTCTGGTTAACAGCCAGAAGCTTTTCCGTGATCATACGGAGAGAAAACATTTGATCCGTGCATCCTCTTCCAGGTCTAAATCCGCATTGTGCCTCCCATAGAAATCTTTCCGATATCTCTTGCATCCTACGTGTCAAAACCTTCGAGTAAACTTTACTTGCTAAACTGGTCAAGCTGATCGCCCGATAGCACCCGCAGTCAAAATGTGAACCTTTACCTTTATATAAAGGCACAATGACTGCGGATCGCCAATCATCCGGGACATCCCCCGTCCGCCAGCACAAATTGCACAGCAGATGAAAGCTGTCCCAGACGCGAGGCCCACCATACTTGACCATTTCAGCAGTAACTCTGTCTAGTCCCGCAGCCTTACCACATTTCAAACTTCGAATCGCACGTTCAATCTCTTTCATACTGATGACCTCAGTGTCATCGAGGTCCGGGTCTGGCGTGCCAGTCACGGCGTCATCCCCGGATCCCTCACTAAGATCATCACACGCATACATTTCTCTATAAAATTCGCTCCATCGCTGCATGACGTCCGATTTTTCTGAGAGGACGTCATTAGTTCTCGAAAGCACTTTGTTCATTCTTAAGGCCGTCGCACCACTTCGGGTCCTTCCAACCTCTTTCCAGAAGAGTTTGGAGTTCTCCTTAAAGTTGTGCGACAACCTTTCATCCGCTTCCATTCTACACCTTTCACGCACTTCCTCAATCAATGCTTTCGTGTGAACTTTCTGCAGCTTATATCTTTCTTTCATCTTCTCTCTCATATCCTTATCATTACTAGAGGCCAAGTAGTCTAACCATGCTTTCTTCTTCTTCTTTACAGCTTCTTTCACTTCATCATTCCACCATGCATCTCTTCTTTTACTACTGCCTCTTTTTATTGTTCCACACACTTCTTCCGCTGCACTTACCATTCCATCCCTAAGGTTCTGCCATGTTCTTTCTACACATTCGTTTCTGCCATCGATGGTGTCAAGCTTTTCGGCTACCCTCGCATGATATTTGTCCCTAGTATCCGCTTCCTGAAGCTTCCAGCTTCGGATGCGACAGACCGACTGTGGTTCTGTCACTGTCGTCCGGTAGCGCCAACCCGCGAACAGACCCCTAAATCTAGTAATTACTAGATAGTGATCCGTTCCCAGGTCAGCACCCCTGAACACTCGCGTATCCATAACCTGTTTTCGCAGTCGGTCATCCACCAGGAACAAATCGATCATACTTCTCTCATTCTTTCTTTCTCTAGTATACATATGGATTTTCTTGTGATTAAACATAGTGTTTGTCACAAGAAGACCCGAAGAAGAAATAAGTAAGTAAAGTAAAGTAAAGTAAAAATGGATAAATCTAACTGTGGATATTCCTAATGGTAGCAGAATTAAAAAAAAAGTTAAAAATGTGTAAAAAAAATGAAAGAGTACAGTACTGAGGCATTGTTTTGTGTATATACATACACTAGAAATTGAACAATTTCTAATTAAATTGCAGCTTTTCAATGATTATGACACTTCTGTGTAACAAATAAGTCCACCTTGGTCTCAACTTGTGACAGACAGCGTTACGTTATTAGCAGCCCTCATTGACAAACCACCTGCCAAATGTGACGATTAAACCAAATCTTCCCAACAAGGGAAATAAATTGTTTCCAGCTGTGGACTTATAAGGATTGATGAAATAAGTGTAGTAAAGTACTTTTCTGACAAATTAGCTGGTGTGGTAGTTATTCAAGTATTTTTTGGACTAAGAAAAACCTATCTTTAACGTAATAAGATACTTTTTTCTTGCCACTCTAGGTAATTAACATTTGCACTGATTTGAGCACAGATGGGACTGAAAAAAGAACATATTATATTATATACATATGCGATACGCAAATTTATTCAAATAATCAATTTTATATGTGGTAGAACCACACTGCGGCTATATTGTGGTTGTAGCACGAATGGGTCGGCTCGACCGGGGAAGGATCACGCTCTCACAGAATACCAGCGTAAAATAACAGCTTAATGCTGCTGTGATTTGTATGGCGAGTGTAGTGAACGGGAGACTCTTTTTTACTGGAAACGAGACATTACTTTTGGTCCTTAGGGGTGATAATGCATATTATGCACTTTAATTCTTGATCGAAGGATGGATGTAGATGTGTATGGGCCATAGCATTCACTTACCATCAGGTGGAGTATGTGCTTGTTTATCACCCTTATTCTATAAAAAAAACTATTCAATTTAAAAAAAAATTAAATAATATTTACCATGATATAGGTTACCACGAGATCTTCCAGTTTCCCTAAGTCACTTTAACAATTACTGAAATATGCATTTGTTGATTTCAGGTCAACTATCGTTTTATGCTTCTAATGCTTGGTGCAATGAAACTAATGGAAGCTGCGTGCTCTTAATCGACCGTGCCTCTCTTCGCCACAAGCGTGACAACAAGCTGCGCTCGCAGCCCGGCGTTGCTCGTCGACTGCGAGCAGACTTGGCCCACTTAGTACTGGACAAGGCTCCTGGCGTGCTGGAGTGCGATAGTGTTGTGGGACTGGCGAAACATTTGTGTGGAGTCGCCACCGGTATGTTAGGTTTTAAAATTAACTCTAAGATTTATTTCTCAGATGGACAGGTTTCGTGGTTGGTTTTCTCTTCGCCGCCGTGCATTATCCCAACAGTATTTAATATTTGATTACATTAATCTGGCCATTAAACGCTCATTTAAATCAAACTTTTGTTCATAAGAATTATAAAAGCTTATTATACAATTTGCCATTCTTACTATACTTTTAGTGCCTAAAAATTCATATTATATTTTTTATTCATTTTTTTTTGTGGCCAGTGCTTGACCCCAATCCCACCTGGTAAGTGGTGATGAAGCTCTAGATGGTAAATTGCACTATCTTAGCTTAACAAATGTCTTCACTCTTGTCTTAAAGACACCCACATTGTTGTAATTGAACGGGACAGACGCCGGCAATTTATTGCACTCCTTTAATCCAATATTTTTATAGAATATGGTTGCCAAACAAGCACACGGTCCACCTGATGGTAAGTGGATGATGAAGCCCATAGAAATCCACATCTAGATCAAGAATCAAAGTGCATACGCGTTATCACCCTTAAGGATCAAAATATAATGTCTCGTTTCCAGTAAAAAGGGTCTCCGGATCTCTATACTTACCATACAAAACACAATTGAACGATACGAGTTAGCCGTCAAAGTCGGGGTCCACCACCCCTGTTGGGTGGGTTATCCAACCCACCCATGTCATGTTGTGGTTTTCGGTGTCATCAAAGAGTATTTGATGTTGATGTGATCACTGAACACAATAATTCCCTCATATCGATTTTAGTGCCACGTCGCATTCGTAACGTTAATAATGAATGAATAATGCCCCCCTTTTATAGCTTACGGCCTTTCAGGCCGCGAGCTCTGAGTTCGATCAAGTTGTAAGAGCCGCATAAGCTAACAGCATTAACATCACAGAAACTAGACGTGGTCCTTCCCCGGTGGAGCCAACCCATTCGCGCTAAAACCATAATATAGTTGAATACCGCAATGTTGAAATATCGACAACAAAGTGGTGATGGGCCACCTGGTTGTTGTATGGTGAAAGGGGAGGGAGAAATTAAGGCGTGTATTTCAAAATTATAGCTATACAATACCCCTCAGACAGCAGAAGCTGATATGTTTTTTTTTTTTAATTATTTTATACTAACCAAACTGTTAAAACTGTGTATTGACGGAATTAAAATATCCACTAACCCATATCGTCCCATGCGTAAGAGGCGACAGAAGGAAACTGAAATGGAAGGTGGGCAGTAGCATCTCCCTTATAATAACTCAAAATAATAAAAAAACTGCGGTTGCCAACCCGCCTGCCAAGCTCGGCAACTATGACAAAATCTTCCCTGTGAGGCAATTTATGAGCGAAGCCTAGTTGAGTCGTGGTCTTGTATAGGTTGTAATGGATGGATGTATGTTCGATGTATTTAACTTTAAGAAATTATTTTTTTTCACTTGGTAGAGCCAAGTTGTAGCTATATTATGATTGCAGCGTGTATGAGTCGACTCGACCGGGGAAGGACCTCAATCTCACAGAATACCAGCGTGAAATAGCAGCCAAAGAGAATATAATCACTAGCTTAATGCTGCTGTTTTGTATGGTGAGTGTAGAGAACTGGAGACCCTTTTTATTGGAAATGAGGCATTCCATCTTAGTCCTCAGGGGTGACAACATACCTAGTCAGGTCATAAATTCTGTAACATGTTTAATATAAAATAATTGAAACAAGTTTATTCATTATGTAACCATTTATATACCAAAATGAACTTAACAAAACATAGATTCTTATGACACTAAAGTTTATTCAAAATGACCTCCGTGATTTTGAATACAGGCCTTCAATCTGCGCGGCCAGTCGTCTATCGCAGCACGAACGAGGTCCATGTCAATATCGGTGGCTGCCTTAATCAAGGAAGTCTTGAGTGACTCCAAATTGGGATGAGGCTTTGAGCACGCCTTTTCCTCAAAGTGTTGCCATATCTTGTAATCTAACGGATTCAAATCTGGACTGGAGGAGGGCCAGTCTTCGTGCCGGATGAAGTAGATTTCACGCGCCGCCAGCCAGTCTTGTGTGCTCTTCGCTCTATGAGCTGGGGCCGAATCTTGTTGGAATACCCAGTGCCTGTTATTGAACATGGTATGAGAAACAGGTTCCACAAGGTTCGTCAGGACTGTATTTTGATACACAACTGCATTCGTTTTTACACCTTTCTCACAAAAATGTACCTCTGTTAAGCCCCAATAAGAAACTCCCAACCATACCATGAGCGAGGATGGAAAATGACCTCGTTGGACACGCGGAATACGGTTGCTCTCTTCTTCACTACTGTGTGCGTACACCTTATCATTTTGTTTGTTGTAGCTCTGTTCTACGTTAAAAATTTTTTCATCCGAAAAAAGAATTTCCCGATATTTTTTTCCCGCGTACCGCTTCAACAAAGCGCGGCATCTCTTCAGTCTCAGGTCCATTAGACGAGCATTCAAACGATGTCCTGTTTTTCTTCGATATGCCCGAAGCCCTAAGTCTTCATTTAACACCCTTTTCACCGTGGTTCTGCTTAACCCCATCTGAAGGGCCAACAGTTTCTGCTTACGTTTGGGATTTCTTTGAATTCGCGCCTTCACAGCTTTTATCACTGCTGGAGTCCTAACAGACCGAGGGCGACCACTTCTTGACCTGTCATTTACACTAGAGTCTTCATTGTATCGTTTGATGGTACAATAAACGAATCTTTTGGTTATATTCAGATTTTTCAGTATGTCAAAAATTTGAATTGGCGCGTAACCGCAACGATGCAACGCAATAACTGCAACACGGTCTTCTTTAAGCGTCCACTCCATATTTAAAAATGAGTAAAATTCTAAAAAGTATACAGTTTTATTTTCATGAACAATTCGAAATTCGAATTCAATAAACATTTTTGTGGCCAGCATTCTAAAAGAAAAGTTTTTACTGTGTGACTATACTTATGATCTGACTAGGTATTTGCATTTTGATTCTTAATCAAAGATAAATGTAGATGTCTATGGGCCACAGCATCCACTTACCATCAGGTGAACTGTGTGCTCGCTTGGCAACCATATACTATAAAAAATATTGAACTAAAGGAGTGGAATAAATTGCCAGTGTCTGTCCCGTTCAATTACAACAATGTCTTTAAGGAAAGAGTGAATTAAAACCCTTATTCTATTTTAAAAAAAAAATGTGACGCAAGACAAATAACCAAAAATATTGGCTACAAATTCATCTCTTAAAACAAAATCACTTCTGCATACAATAATATTTTATATACATACAGACTATGCGCTGCGAAGCGTGGTGGGACACTCGTGCAGCAAAACAGTGGGGGTGGTAATGGCCACGTGTTGCCACCATCGGTGCGAGATAAATGCGTATGTCGGAGAATTGCAGGTTAGTTATTCCTACCTCGTTTCAATATTCCATCTTACAAGTTTCACTTAAATTTTCAACCCTACAATAATTAATAACTAATTATATTTTTTATTATTTTGGTGTTGGTTTTCCGATATTCATTTATATTAAACACAAGTGATCAGCCCCGGCTTATTTCGCATTTCGCACGGGTTATTTGGAGATCTCGATAAACCATACAGGGACCAACTCTAACACACAAAAAATTCATCAGAATCGGTCAAGCCAGCTTGGGGTTTTAGCGAAACTAACCGACAGCAATTGTTTTTTATATATAGCAATGAGAAAATTGATTTGCTAAAATCTGTATGAAAAGTAACAATCAAAACGACAAAACTCGCGATACCATCCTCCATACCATCTGGATGATTGGCGGTTCAACATTGTGCGATTTATTTATTTATTTTAAGTCCTTATTAGGAAGACACTGCTGCCCATCTCCTAATTTGTTTACATCTATAGTCTCTTACGACAACCACGGGATGATATGGGATAGTGGATATTTATATATTAAACCGCCACTATACGGTATTTTTTAGAATGGCGTGTGTGAGAATTAACTAGGTAACACAACAACATTTGGTTGTTGACAACAATCAGATCGACTGAGATCTTAGAAAATATTTTTTTTCACTTTACTAAACAGTAATAATTGTTTGAACAATTGAATGGGGATACTTGACAAATGTATGGTATATTAGTGGAACGAAACTGTAAATATGGAAAAGTGTAGTAACTTATGGGGCATAAGTCACTACACTTTTCCATATTTACAGTTTCGTATCATGTATATTATAAAATAATTTTTAGTATTTGTTTTTGGAATAATTATAAAACAAACATGTTGAACAAAGGTGTTTGAAAAATCTTTAATATTCATTTCAGGAATTAGGCATATCCAGCGATGAATTCAACATAATGTTGGGCATCGTGTCGTGGGCGACATGCGGTGACGGTCGCAGTCGAGAGCAACGGAAAAATGACACGCAACTTGACCTTCAAACCAACAAATATTTATCCGGCTCGAAGGACCACCAGGGAGGAGTTACGGAATATGATGCAAACAACGAAACTATGGACTATTTGAAAGTAGCTGTAGATACTGACACAAAGCAACAAGAAAATAGCCAAAATGTCTATAATTTGTGCGATGATAACGAAAGGAAAGTCTTTCGGCCGGAAACAAAAGTAGATCAAAAAGATCGTGAAAACAAATCTGAAATGAATATTAATCAAGAGACTGACTTGGATGATATTTCGAAAAAAAGTGTAAACCTAGATCAAAAATCGAAAGAGCTTGTTGGACGACGTGCCAAGGCTTTGTTAGATTGGGGCAGAGTTCTTTTCCTCAGAAAGCATGGCTTTGTGGCTCACTTGTGCTACTTTGTGCCACAAGTTGTCTCGTTAGAAAATATTTGCATCGTAGCTACAAAGTATGCTTAAACAGGAAATATTTGTATATTTTTGTTATTTATTTGTATTTTATACGACGAAATTGTATAATAAGGATAAGGATAAAATTAAACACTGTTAATGGAAATATACTTGTATATTTATATCAATAATTTTAATCTAAAACAAAATTCTATTATTTCTATACAAACTTTAGAATAAATGTAACGAAATGCTAATAATTCTTTTAGCATTACAAAACCGAGATAACTGCACGCACCTCGAGGCAATGAATAAACAGCTTTAAAATTTTTACCAAAAGCTAAATTATATAGACAACATTTATATACTTACATTGGTTATCAAGATACTTTTCCATGGCGAAGTTAGCTAGTTGATATCAATTGATATATACATAGATATGGTAATACTTGATATATGAAAATTTGAATGATGGACAAAATAAAAGTATGTGTGTTATTCGGAAGATATTTAGATATTTGGTTAAATAACCTTTCTGATTTGTAGTAATTATATTATAGATGTGACTGCAGAAAAAGAATAACTCAAGCGATCTGAATTACAGAGACAACGTGTCGCTCTAAACTTAATACAATTTGAGACCGCTATAATAATAAAAAATCGGTATCTTCCAAAACAATCGTAATTCTAACCCTACTAAATGTTTTCGACTCGGTAGCGCAGTGACTGAACGTTTGTTTGCTGCGCTGCGGGCCGCGGGACCCGAACAGAACAATTGTTCGTATGGCCTAAAAATAATTTTTTTTTTAGTCTGGATACACCTCCACGATACAGGAGATAATCCTACAATGTGGATAAATCTATTTAAAAAAAATTCGAAAATAATCATTTTCAGGTATATCTTACGTAAAATGAAACAAGATTCGAACCAATCACATCTACAAATAAAACTAAATGTCCTATATGAAAATATAAATGCTTAGTTCTAGGCGTGAATAGTTTCTGTTATAATTTAAACTAAAGACAGTCACTTCATCAGACCGCAGAGCGCCAGACTTAGAAGCGACCTTATACTTATTTGCACAGTTAATATAACAATTTAAATGACACGAGGAATGCAATTACAAGTCTGTTAGGATTTATATTTTTCAGATCGAATTTCGGTCACGGCGGCCAGTCTCAAAAGAGACTATCCATCTGCCGAGGTTATGGTGCCAGAATGTATACGCAAGCTCAGGTGCGCTCTGTATTCCCTCACTCTCATAGTCCGATGGGACGACACGGCCGGAGAGAGATCAGGCACTGAACTAACGGCTTTACGTGCTTTCCGAGGCACGGAGGTGAGACACCGCCAATATCCTGGCTCCAGGCTGCTACTGACAATTTCTTGATAGAACAACTCGATACCTGGCTTCAAACCCGCGACCTTAACACGACATTACGACAACGAAGCATTCGTCTGTTAGGATAATAAACTTATAACGTTAATGATATTTGATATATAATTAAATTCAAAGTATTTTATTTGTGCTTCAAAAATCTCTAAATGAAAACTTTTCTTTTGTTATTGACAGATATTAACTGTAAAAGTCAGTTTGATTTGGCTTCATTGCCATTCTGAATATATTCTTGTTTTAAGATGTGGTGGTAATGTTATTATAAAGACGAATTTTATTTAGTTTCCTAAGCAGTAGTTGTGTATCGACGAGAGATTATCACAAGAGGCGACAGAGGGAAACTGAATTAAGAGATGGGCCGCAGCATCTTACTGATAACAATTTAAAAATGACAAAATAATTCTGGTTGCCAACGCGCCAGCTAAGTGTGGCAAGTATCGCTATATCTAGCAGTGGACTTTGTTACGTTGTGATGATGATGATGAGGAAGCACTATTTATTTTTTAATTTTTCTTAGCTTTTTACACTTACTAAGAATGACATCATAGAATAGGCTGAAAAATTAACTACTTTTGTCAAGTACACGAAAAGTATTAATAACTTATCTTTTAATTTATGGCAATCTCAGTCATGGAAGTGACACAGATTACGTTAAAGTTCTAAAATTTTATATCAGACTGTTTATTGTGATGCCTGTACAATCTGCGTAGCTTATAGTTTTTTTTACAAACTGTTTTTTTTTTGACAAAACATATTTCAGATTCAGGCAACAAATTTTATACAAAAGATGTTTAATTTTAGTTTTATTATACCTATAATACTTTTGGATATTGTCATTGAAGAATTCGTTCCTCTATTAATTATACATTGAAAATTGTTTTAATGCAATTGAAATATGAAACATTGAATTGCCAACCAATCACTGATAAACTTATTATAGTGCAAGATCTCCTCTTCGTTTACTCTATACAGAGTTATTTTTCAAAAAGTAACCAAATTTTATATTTAACTTCAAATATTAGATCCGGTATAATAAATAATATAAAACTGATACACCATTATTGCAGTTTTTGAAAGTTAGTTAAAGTTAAAAGTTGCAGCCTATTTACGTCCCACTGCTGGGCACAGGCCTCCCCTCATTTCTAAGAGGGTTTTAGGGCAAGGAAATGTCCGCCGCGCTGCCCCAATGCGTGTTGGCGAACTTCACATGTCTTCGAAATATTTTTTTCTTATTGACGTGACAACGTCTTATAATTCGATGAAGATGGCGGCACGCACGAAAAAACATGACTCATGCGGCGTTACCTCGCTCTGAGGCGTTCCATTTAAGGCTTGAAGTGCAAGCGAGAGCGCGGAACGAACGACAAAGAGGCACAATCGGCGTTGTCACGTTCAACTATCGTCAGTAAACCGACTTTACAGACAACCGATTTTTTTTTCTCAGACATGCAGGTTTCACGATGTTTTCCTTCACCGCTGAGCACTCTCTCTCTTGTTGAAAATACATATAAATAAGGCTTCTATTTTTATTTGAAATTATCCCAAATTGCATGTGATTTATGGCAACAACTAACCGTACGTGCTCTCCTGTATGGGATTCTATTTACAACGTTTTGGCCGATCAAGCGACCTTTATGATGTGTACATGTAGTAAAATAGTGCATGCGTAGAATGCGTGCTGAATTCTGAATTTAAAACAAAAAGGACAGAACGTTTGAGATTTTTTTTAATTAATTTTTCTTAATCATTCGCCAATATTCGCCTTTTATTATTTTCGCCTATATTAAAAAAAAGATATTACATATTCTGAACCTTCTTTGCCAATTTGGGCGTATATTGCAAAATAACAACAAACAAAATATTATGCATGTATTTATAAAACGGAATGAATGTTAGGTTATAAATCTTTCCTCACATAAGGTTGTTAATGTCTCAGGAGATAATAAACATAGGTGTTCTTCTTTTTTGTTCGAACGGTTTTGATCGTTCAACGTGTCAGCGTGAAAGTGTTTATTGAGTAGAATAGCTCAGCAGATACAAATACTATGGCTATGTACAAGAGGAAGATTGCGATAATACAAGTATCTTACTTTCCTTTCAACCATTGTTACAAAAAGTATATAGCTTCAAAAGTTGTCGCTACAGTAATAATAAAATTACGAATATATATCTTGTAACTGCATTTTTATAAAAGTTATTCAATTTGTTTACATTGTCATTATCTTTTTTTAGATAATAAATCATTTAATACCATACAATTGAAAAACAAATGAATAGCAGTGTTGAAATAGTCTAATGTTGGACAACGAGAATTTATTATATAAACTGGTGAGCAGCTGTGATAAGCCCATTAAGTGTTTTGCTTAATTTTACCGGAGCCCCGTTTAACGCTTTAATCTATTTATATATTTAAATTTTTAAGTGTTTTACTATGTGTTAATATATATATATATATATGTTTATTTTACTTAAATATATTTTTATGATTTATAGAACTTTAGAGCTATAAATTGAAATTACCAAAATTATAAGCTAAGCATGAACGAACAACTGCTTTCATAAAAAAAAAAATATTTTTCAAAATAATATGAAGCGAAATATTCGAAAAATGGTGCATTACAATCACTACACACACATTTGTGTTTATATTCAGTATGTTACAATATTTACATGCGATGCAATGGAATCCAACTGAGGTACAAAAATTGGAAGGCAATTTATAAATATCACATTATCTACACAACAAAGTCTTTGCAATAGCTATTCTCATTAAACAGATTTGCTATCACAAACAAGTATTGTAAGAAGTTTATTCACGATCCTCGCTTTAGCTTATAGAAATTAAAAATATGTCAACAGAAAAACTTAATCATTATTCTGTAATCCCTCAGTATCGTATATATAAACATTAGAAAAAGAAATTAAGTAATTTTGTACTTTACAAGAGAGACATTACAATTAAGGTATACTGTAATAATAAATGTTTTAGCTGTATGTAAGAAAGATTAAAGTTTTATTATAATGTTTATTTTGGATATAATTTCAAAAAACAGATTTAGTTTCAATTCAAACAATCTGATTAGATTAAAAAAAATTGTTTGGAAAATAAGAGTTATTATAGAGGATCAAACTTTGAGGCAAACCAAATAATGAGAGCACCCAGGAATTTTTCTGTCACCATGGCTCGCCACTTACGAGTGAGGTGAAATATTTGATAGATTACAATATTGTTATAAAAATAAGAGTTAATGTTTCTTTTTGTAATATTAATTAGATTTTATATTAATTAATTACATTAGAAATTTATAAAATAAACTACGGATATTCCTAAAAGTAATTTTTTTACAAGTTTAAAAAACTTAAAAAATGTTTTATTTTACAAGCAATTAAGTATTGTTTTATGTATTTATTTAAAACGCAACTTGTCAATTAAATGACATTGTGTAATAAAAAACTTCACCTCAGTCCCAACTAGCGACATCTGATGAGCGGTGTATTTAGCCCTCGTTCGTATTGGAGATGTGTGGGTAGGTTTTTAAAAGACAAAATGTACAGCACCAGCTCAATGTTAGAAATTTCCTTCGGGCATGGGGTAGGAGTGATCCCGTGGGAGTGCGGGGAGCTCGGGGCGCGGGCAGCTCAGTAGCCGTAGCGCTCCTGGATGGAGGACAC